CATGTTTTATTTGTCTATCTGCTCTGCTATATACCTGTCTCTTATACACATCTAGATGTGTATAAGAGACAGATCTTGATTTATGCCTGTATAGGCACATATGTATATTGCAAAAATATTACAGGCTAGTAATTCTAAATCTGGCTCAATTCTTATAATTCTCATTTAGCTTACCTACAGTTGTAGATGTTTCACATCTATTTCCATTGAAGCCATTACTGCAACTGCACATATATGTTGTACCACTGTTCATACATGTTCCACCATTAAGACACGGACCAGATGAACAAGGGGCACCTATAATCGCTGCGTGTTGGAATAGAGTATAACGATTAAAGATAACCCTCAATAATTAAATTAAAACAATTATTTAACAATTTTAAGGAATTAAATAAGTTATTCATTTCTTATTCATTTTAAATAAACATTAGACAATGGTCAAAACATTTTCTTTTTGATATATAAACCTATAACTATTAAATTGTACGCCTAAATGGCCAGTCAGCCAACAAAGAACGTTTGTTATTTTTAATAAACGTCTTGTGAATAATACATCCACAGTGCTAATTTTGGCTTAACAGGCCTACATTCAGCTATTTTAATTATACATAATACACATATTATATAAACATATACAGGATATCAAATGTATGTATATTCTGATTCCTAATTAGCAAGACTACCGTATTGTTTTATCTGCATTTATTTTGAGCTTATTTCCGACGTTCCATATACCAATATTTTCTAAAATAGTTTGTAATTTTCTATTTAATTCATCAACTTGTGTTCCTGAAACAAACATATCAACATCATCCGCAAAAATACTGAAAGTACCAAGAAAAATAAATTGTGAAATATCATTTATGAATAGCAAAAATAAAACAGGACCTAAGACACTGCCCTGTGGTATGCCAATTCCGATCGATTTGGGGTAGAAGTTTTTATTGTGACATTTCAATATTTGCTTCCTTTCAGCCAATTAATTTTTGAACCATAATAATTCGTTTCCTTTACATCCATAGCTTTCAATTTTTTCTAGTGTAGTGTATGGTTTATTGTGTCAAAACACTTTTATATATCGATAAATCTCGTGGGTATCATTTCCCGGTCATTTATGAATTCTAGCCAATCGTCTATAACATGGTGAAGGCATGTAACAGTTGATTGGTATTTCCTAAAAGCATATTGGTCAACATTTATAAGGTCATTTTCATTCAGATATGCAATAATTTGATCTTGGATTTGTTTTTCAACGATTTTGGCTATGTGGCATAGGCCTACCACTGAGATTGGTCTATAATTTTTGGGGCTTTGTTAGTTCTGATAAACTGTCACAATCTATGTACCGTACTTCATTATTCCTCCACTCAGAGCCTAGCACCTGATGATTGAGGTACCCCTCATGAAACAGCCTGTAGTGCAATTAAATGTTGAGTCTTTAACCCAGTGTTTCATGTTTTATTTGTCTATCTGCTCTGCTATATACTGCATTGAGCACTCTTGTCTACATGATCTGGTTTAAGCCAACCACGCAGATTATATATATAGCCTATATATATATTCAAATCAAATTGCTCCTTGGCACTGCTTGAACACAATATAATGAATAATTATTAAAATAGATAATAATACTGTGTTCAAATTTATAGGAACATGATGTAAAATTGTACCAAACATAGTTCATATACGATCAACGAAAGTTCCTAATTATAGTTCTCTGATGGGAATCGAACCCGCAATCTCTTGTTGTCTCGGTGAGAATCATGCCGTTTAGACCACAGAGGCCCGTACGATATCATTACGGATCTAACGCCACAAGTTTCTCTCCCACTTGAGAGCCCACATAGTGGGGCCAATTTTAAGTTACGTAATAGCTTAGGCAGCAGCAAGTAAATCATAGAAAATAATATTCAAATCAAGTTGCCGCTTAGCACTGGGAACACAAAATAATGTATAAATCAAATAGATAATAATACAGTGCTCAAATATATAGGAACATGATGTTATAAATCGTATCAAACATAGTTCATCAACAAAAGTTGCTCATTATAGTTGCAAGGAGGTCTGTGGTGGGAATCGAGCACGCAACCTCTCGCTATCTCGGCGAGCGACATACAATTTATACCACAGAGGTCCGTACGATATCATTACGGATCTAAGATCACTAGTCTCTCTCCCTTCATACAATTTGAGGTCTCACACATATAGTGGTGTTAATG